TGCTTTGCGATTGGTGCGTGCGATTAACGGCACAGAAGGATACAGACTCAGGGTCCTGCGTATTACGTATTCCAAGTAGCGCATCTGCTCTAAATGTGCACATGGAATGTTGGAAACATTCGCCAACTGCACGGCTGAGTTCGTTACGAAAATACGCCGCTGCTGGGCTTACATCTTTTCTTGAATGGCTGGATGGTGAGAGAGGGTGTACATTAGGGTTGGCCAAAAGAAAGTAAAGTCGGAATTTTAATGCTCTCACCCCCTAGGATTTTTCTATATTAAAAAATCATATTTTACGTTTTTTGCGGACCAATAAATTATAGTAACTATACAAAATGGTTCAATAAAAAATTAGGTATTATTTTAGGTAATCTCCTGTAGAGAATCATATTGTTTTCTAAGAATTCTGTCCATTTCTAGGAAAATATTTTTTAATTTCAAAATAAATAAAACATAGAGGTGTATTTTTTCGGCATAAAAATTCCGACATGAATTTTCGTACCACCCTAGTGTACATAGGGTGTATAAGATAGCGTTGATGTTGTGCAATTGTGTTCCTCTTAAAAATGTAATAAATGTGATGGTAAGCGAAAATTTTATATCAAGAGTTGGATGGCCTGTTATGTATAGAAAAATTATATAATATAATCTTCAAAGAAAATTACACTTGAGTAGTTATTGCAATTAACTAGAGAAAATCGTGTGCATAAAAATTTGCCCAAAAATGAAAATTTAGTTTTATAATGAATTTAAAGCAATTTTTCCCCAAGAAAATGTCAAGCGAACAGTTGAAGACTTTTCGTGTGAATAATGGTAAATTTTAGATTTTTAACATTTCAAGCAATAAATAATTTATTTACCTAATAAATCATATTTTCTGGGTTCCACAACAAACGCTAAGTTCCTTGTAAGCATAAAATTACTCGGATTTTCCAGCTTTACTCAATAAATTGTGGAAATGCAAACAGCAATTTATTTATATTTAACTGCCTTTATCTGATTAATTATCGTGCCGCCCCCCGCAATTCCATGCGCAAAATGTAACTCATACGCACTGTGAATAGGAACGTGGAGAGCTCCTCGAACATTTCCTTGTTGGTCAGCTGGTTGCTGCTATCCAGGTTCGCATTCAAAAGCGCATCAAGGAACGAACGTGCCACTTTTTTCGTTGCCGGTTTCTGCTGTTTTTCGTGCTGCTGCTGCTTTTTTGTTGCGCCGTCTGTTGCAGCTGCTGACGACGTTGGTTGACAATCTTTTAATTAAAATGCGAATAATCAGAACACGAAAGACTTAAATGGAAAACAGAATATTAAAAATATGATGTTGGCTGGCTGGATTTCCAGTGACGGAGTTGACATATGATGGTCGGCAACACGCACTCAATTACCAATTTTTGCATATTGCATTTTTAAGTTGAAAGGCTGAGCGTATGTGTATATGGAAATGTGCATGTGGCTTTTACAGAATGCGGAATTGTTTCTAAAGGCTTATGAGCCTACGGAGAGTACTTGGGGATTTTTACAGAGCATAAAAACGCATTTCAACATACCGCTTAACAACAGTGGTTTACTCTTATTTAATGTATCTACGTGAATTCATACTATGGCTGTGCATGCAATACATGTGTATGGATGTACAGTTGCGAGTAAAATAACAGCAGTAAAATTCAAAATGATGCTGCTGGTAGCTTATGTTTATTTATTTATTGTTGGGTCGATCTGTATCAGAAACCGCAAATATAAGAATTTCAAAGCTTGCACCAAGTTCACAAAAATTAATTAAACTAAAAAAAAATCATCAAAATTTCGAATATTAAAATAAGATTTCTTATCAAGATTTTGAGTATGTATGCAGTTTTGTAGCCTATTCAATTTTGGTATGATAAAGTGCAAGTTTCAAGTCTCTAAAAACTACCGTTGATTTTTAAGAATTTTTTTTTGTCGAGGGTGTGCGCATTTTCTTCCATACAACGCATGAACCAAATTTATTTTCACTTTAGACTTAGAAAACTCGGTAAAAATTTGTGGAGGGAAATAATGATTTCTGTACGAATATTTTGAGATGTCTCTATTTTTCGGAATATTATGAACGTAAGGCTTCTGGGGAGTATTCAATTTTACATTAAAAATTTTAGATACTGAAAAGTTGATATTGCTCTGAGAAAATATGTATGCACTTCTTTTATGACTTTTCATTAAAGATCCTTTTAGGAAAATCTAGGAGAGGATGTCCAAGTATTCATATATGTGTACATATTTGTAAATACATACATACAATGTAAGTAGTACGTATGCATCTCTATTTTTAATTCATCTTTCCTTTCGTTATTGCCATTCCAACTCCTCATCCAATATTGTTTGCCTTTCAGCAAAAATTAAAATTAAAAATTTTTTAAATCGCAATATCGCAGAATCCGTCTGTATTTGAGTACGTATCGCCGGTCCATACCTGTGGGTGTGTGTAAAGCAGAACAAACACGTGTTTACTTTGTTAATTATGCGCTCACGAGTGCTCAGGGCGGCGCTTTGCTTCCAGCCAGTGTACGGACTCTAAATTTTTTTTTTAGTGGTAGATAAGAATTAAAGATTGTGATAGATTCCAAAACACTGTGGAGGTCTACATACATATATGTATATGTATGTACTCGGACGAATTTTGATATAAAAATTTTGCGCTAAATGCTGAAAATCCATATTTTTACCAGACAAAATGTCGTTTATCATGAATTAAAATGCCGATTGTCAATGAGTAACAATAGAAACCCAAACAAATAGATGTCGATCGAGGTTTCTGCTTGTGAGAGTACTATTCCGCAGGCCAACAAAATTTCAAAAAATGATTGAGGCACTGTAAGTGAAATCATCTAAATTGAAAATTTAGAAAAATTGTAAAATGTTGTGGATTTTAAGCTTACGGTGGTAGATGTGCTAGAAATGCAATTTAGCTAAAAATGTGGTGGATTTTAAGCTTACGGTGGTAGATGTGCTAGAAATGAAATTTAGCAAAAAATGTGGTAGATCTACCACAAAAGTGGTATAATCCGTACACTGCTTCCTGTGATGTGGCGCTAATTGGAAGAGCGTGTCAAAGCGTTTTACAATGCTGAATCTTCGCCCCCTTATTACATCTCACAGACTGTGGTGGGAATATCAACCGAGGCGATTGTAAAATTGTCCAAGTAACTAATTGAAACCCAAATTGACTCGATTTATGTGTATGTGTTTTTTTTTTGTTTGGTGGTAAAGATGATATTGGTAGATAATTGGATTGGGGCAATAAAATGAGGATGCGTGCATGTATGTATGCAATAATATGCTATTGCTATACTCTTCGTGAACTGAACATGAAATGAAGAAACATAAATATCATGTTGCCAGACCAAAAGAAAAATATACATGCCACCCCACCAATAATTTTGTATGAAAGTATGTATAGTAAACATTACAAAAAAATACCGACCTCACAAAAAGGAGAAGGAGAAGAGGAGGTTATCAACTCGTCGGAATATATATATGTATATTACCGCATAACTTTGGACCACGTTAACCGATTTCAATAATTTTTTTTTTAAAGAAAAGGTGTTACCTCACAGGTGGTCCCATTTGGATAAAATCCGATTATTGGATCATAAAGAAATTAACGATAATCTTAAATTTTTATATGAGAATTGAAGTCGCTTTTATTTTTTGCTTAAAAATTAGTTCTTTCTATTTTGTTTTGTTGAGAGTTTCACGTTTTTTTTGCTTATATAAAAATTGTCGAAAAAACTTTTTATAGAAGAAACTGGGTTGATAGTGTCACCAAAAAAATTGCAAAAATTTATGCGATATCAACTTTACTATACTACTGCAATTCACTGGGAATCTAAAGTATACAAACACACATATCCATATGTATACTTATGCAAGTATATGCAAGTATTCAGGTACATATGTGCTCAAAGGATAAATGAAAAAAATAAAATTTTTTGTTATAAATTAAATGCTTCCTTATTTTGATGAAAGTATATGCCAAGTGCATTTCGTTCTAGTTGTTTTTGTTATTGTGTAGAGCTAAATAAAACAGTCACAAGATGTGTCGTGACAACAAATTAAATTACTTGTCTTTGTATGTATGTTTGTACGCATTTGAGTGTGCGACATGACATGTGAGTAAATGGAATTACTTGAACTTCCGCCGGATCACTCAATATGACATGATACTGAAAAAAAACAGACACCAACGAAAGGAAACTCTGGAAGTCATATTTCCGGCAGCACTGCAAAATTTTCTTTGGGTAAATATTCGGCAAAGAGAAAAACAAAGTAAGCAACTTTAAGTGTGCGGCTGTTGAACAATTTACTCGAATTGTGTGTACAAATTTACATATGTGCATATATCTATGTACATTAGACTGCATCCCTCCCCATACAAAAAAAAAATCGATACTATTTTTCCATTGGAATTATAAAATCTATTATATTTTAAGACGTCTACCAAAATATTTCGGAAAAATATTAAGATTTAAGTGAGCTGGACCGATTTGAAAATACCTCCAAAAATAGAGTTTTTTATGAATAAAAATAGTTTCTTAAAGATTTTTTTTGAAAAAATCCCCTCAAATGACAAAACGGTTCAAGCTTGAAATATCTGCATAAAAATATTAAAAAAAAATTAAGACAAAATTTTAACGGAATCGTAATGATGAGATTTTTGATGCTGTTTTTTAACTTTTTCAAAGATTGGTAGAGGAAAAACTTGAATAACTGAATCTAAACTCTTCCGATTTAGACTTAAGAGGTGTCATTGGAAAGGTATTTTCTCACCCTTTTTATTTCTTTGCTAATAAACTCATTCAAAGGATGGAAGGGAAAGGTAGGATGAACGAACGTCATTCAAAGTTGAATTAAGATGTGTTGGTATTCGAAAAAACAAGATGGGACACGAATGATGTTTTTTTGGCCAGAAAAAAAAACTACTGAGATCCCATAAGTCTAATTCAGAATAGTCTTGGCCCAGTTATTCAAGTTTTTCGTAAACCAATCTTTGAAAGAAGTAAAAAAACAGCATCAAAAATCTCATTATTACGATTCCGTTGAAAAGATTTTTAAATATTTTTATGCAGATTTTTTAAGCTTAATCTAATTTGGCATCTGAGTGGACCTTTTTCAAAAAATTCTTTAATAAACTATTTTTATTCTTAAAAAACTTCATTTTTGGAGGTATTTTTAAATCGGTCCAGCTCGCTTAAATCTTAATATATTTCCGAAATATTTTGGTGGACGTCATAAAATATAATAAATTTTGTAATACCGGCGGAAAACCCGCAACTTTTTTTGGTGATGCAGTCTAATGTACATACATATGTATATATACAATTGAGGTCAGCTGATTAAGTTAAGTGACATTTTGATCAGTTTCGGCTATTTTGCTTTTGCTAATTTAATGTTTATTATTTTTTTTTATAAAAATCTAGCACATTATATAACAAGCACCGTATAAATCTACCATTCAAAGTTTGTACAAAAGTTATAGAAATTCAAAAAAGTTTAAAAATTTTGTTCTTAGAGAGTGAATTGGTAACAAAGTTCGCGGCGAGTAAATTTTTGACAACTATTAGGTGAATAAAATTTCAAAAGCTTATGAGGCTAGTGAAATTTTCGACAAATGCATAGAAAAAAAATGACAATCGCGAAGTTTGTTGTTGTGTGTAATTTTTCATTAAATAAAAGCTTAAATTGATGAATTGCAATCAAGGATGGTAGATGTTTTCTAAAAATATTAATTTAACTTCAATTTGTAATATTTTATAGTAAAAATATTACTCAACAGCTTTCCCCATAAAACTTTGTTGCCGGCAGCGTTGTCGAATTGACGATAGGGCTTTCGCACGAGGCGATTTTTCAGGCAACTTTTGAGTTCAACTCACGCAGGGTTGCACGAGAAAAAAAATTGAATGGCTAAAAATATCAAAATATAAAAAATATCAAAATATTCACCATAAAAAGGCGATTGCATTGTTCAACGTAGCATTCCACTTTTGGTTGAACGGCCTTTCAACTCTAATTGCCTGCCAATATTTAGCCATTCAACTTTTTTTTCGTGCGTGAGTTGAATGGAACATCGCCTCGTGCGAACACCTTTTAATCGCGAAAACGCCTTAGTAATTTCGTAAATTTCAGTCTTGGCGCTTTGGTCAATATTTTGCTTTTATATTTGTTTCAGCTTGTACGATCTATTATTACACAAAGAAACTCTGACAAAACTGCCAAATTTATGAATTTCGCGCAAAAGCGCGCATTCCCTAAAACAGTCCCGAAAACTTTCCAGGTTTTCGCGTTTATTGTCGTTAACAATTACAAATAAATTTTTACTAACCCATTTGCAGTGTGGAGTCCCTTTGGTTATGTATTGTGTTGTCATATTTATTGGAAAATTAAGTGCCATTTGATGTAAAATAGGACCAAAAATGGCACGGTTTGAGCCAAGTTGGCAGCCCTGGTTACCGAATTATGGTGGTTGAAGCTTGATATTTTTCTGGTAGTTGGTAAATTGCTATCAGCTGTTCGATGTTTATCCAATTTCAAATCCACCCGCTGTCGAAAGACATAAGGCATATGAGTAAGTAAAATTCCATAAATTTTCTGTTAAAATGTTTTTTTTTTTTTTTTTAAGAAAAAGCTACGAATTAGCTGTTGGTAAACACAATTTTTCAGACTAACAAAAGAAAGCTGAAAAGGACTTTCACAGTTGATAATATTACCGAGTACCAACTAGCAGTTTACAAAGTACCAACTAGCAGGTCTGAAGACCCTTATTGTCTATTTCCTTATGCTAAATGTCGTAAAAATGGCGATACGGCCACGGTTGCCACTGAAAAAAAACTACTTACCCTCCACTTGAAAAAAATCTACCAAATCTAGAAAATATCTACCAATAGCATTTTGATTTTAGTAATTTTAATAAAAACTATTGTTCTGTTCTATTTTTTTAGATATTTCAATTAAAACTAAAATTGGTTTTAAGGAAATTTTTGTTTAACTAATGGTATGGTATTTGAGATCATATTAATGACATCTTTTCGGCTTGGTGGTTTTTTATTTTTTTTTTTAATATTCATAACGTTTTTCAAGTGCATAAAGGTCTTTTGGTATTTTTTTTATAAGAATATTGTTTGCGCTTCAAACAAACTAATTAAAAATAAACGATTAAAGCTCTATTCCACATTCAGAAAAATTAATTACTGTGAATTTTTAGAACAATTTTAGGTATGGTGTTTTATAGCTTTAGGATAACCAATAATTTTTTTTTGGTTGCCGCTGGTTTTTTGTGTTTTTTCATTTAACAATTTCCATTGATAAAAAATTGCGTTCTTTTTTTGCCAACAATGATAGTGTGTAATTATTTAGAGAATCATTTGAAATATTGACTCAATCAAAAGCTCCCCAGAAAAACTACAGCAATAAATCAGACTACACTTTTGGATAGAAATTTATAATATAAAGATAACTACGAAAAATAAAGCAAGAACGAAAAGTTGTATTTTTTTCCATCAAAATACTTCAACAAAAATCTACCAAAATGAGAAAAAATTTACCTTTTTACCAACCCAAATTTTTTCTACCAATTTTGGTAACAATTTACCAAAATGGCAACCCTGGATAAGGCCATCGTCAGCCATTATTATAGCAATTAAGGAATACGATTTCGACGAGTCGAGTAGAGTCCGACGTGGTGAGCGGTCGTATGGTTTTTCGAGTTCGCGACTATCACATATTTTTGTGACAAAAAAATCATATAAAAACCCCAAAAAAAAATAAATAACAAACCAACAAAAAAATTGCAACAGTAGTAACGTAAGTAAATATTAAATATAGTGTAGAGAAAGTAAAATTCCATTGTGGTGTGGCGATTGGCAGCAAGAGGCAGAAAAAATGTTAATCATGAATGGCATTGAGAAAACTTAAAAATAAGACCAAAATTGTAGAAAACAAGTGTGTTTTTTTAAGAATATTATTGGTCATAATTTTTTTGCAACAAAATTTTTCAGTAAAAGATGAGGTCTTTATTGGTTGTTGCTGTGGCCGGACCGCAGTTAAGCGTGTGCTGAATACAGTTGCCAATTCAATTTAAATATATGTAAAATGTACAGTCAATCAATAAAGTTTAGGTACTGCGATTTGCTGCGTTAGACGCACGGTAATTAGCCCGAAAATGTTGTATATTCCCTCGCCGAGGAAGGATAGCGATATCGGTAACTTTTGAAAAATGTGTGTCATTATTTTCTGCATAATTTCGAAGAATATTCACAGTGCCATTGACTGCTTCACTACCACGATTCAAATCAAGCGAGGGCGCTTGGAGAAGTAAACTTTTAACTTTTTAATTCTTATAATATTTTCCAAGTCATTAATATTTTTATGCGCATACAAATGTCCGGTTACACAGTTGAAAGTGAAGTTTACTACATATGTATGTACGTGCATCGCGGAAATAGACAAAAAGTAGTATCAGAAAGTTCGATTTGACATACATACATACCCATGGTTTTGATTTTTCACGTTGACGAAGAGTTTTACACGATTTCTTATTCTATAAATAATCTTGTGCAAGCCTAAAAAATGGTTACGATTCAAGATTAAAATAAAAAAAAAACTTTAAACATTTTTTTTTTCAAATTTCTTGTTTGATTTAATATATTTTATCCGAATTTTGCTTTTTCGAGCTCAGTGATTAAATTCCTGTTAAAAGCCTTTGATGGCCATTGCGTAGCGTTAGTACGCTATGTTGCACAAAACCACCTCCAGAGGTCGTCTTCGGCGTTGTAAAATTGAAAATGCACTGTGATTGGCCTAGGCTTCTAAATCGCAATAACATTATCGATGTTTCGAAAAATTATATCGATGGTAGTTCGATGTATCAAATTAAAACATCGATGCTTTAAGGAAAGCTTGCTGATTTTTTCTTATCTTATTTACATATGTACATTTATTAATTCAGGAATTTTATAAAAGTACTTACTTATCATACGCCTCCCTCAAAATTTTAAATGATTAAATACTAGTAAAGATTAGTAAACATCGATGTATTGATTTAAAATCGGATTCATAAAAACATCGATGCCTACTATACGTTTTGCGAGTTAAAAAGTGCAAGAAAATGTATGGACTTATAGTGAAAATGCTAATTGTGGACTTTGTTATATATAAAATTTGGTGAGTGGTTTATATTATGAGTTATTATTAGTTGTAGTATTAAGCTAAAAGTTATATTTAATTATAAAAGTGAATGTTGTGTTTCG